TGTCCCCCACCCCGGGGCCCTGGGACGTGGCTCTGGCCACGAGGTGTCGTTGCCGGTCCTGCCGTCCGGCGCCAGACCCGGCCACCCTCCGCCTGCACGGATCCTGCTCCCCCAGCCACCCGCTAGGCCTGGCTGGCATCGCCCTGCGCCCCACGCCTGCAGCGTGGCACACCGGCACAGGGCATCGCTGCTCCACCTCCGTCACAGCGGGGGGTTTCCCCAGGGACACCCCGGAGCAAGGATACAACCCGAGTCCTGCAGCGAGGTGGCCCCTGGGCTCCCTCGTCAGCTCCATCCGGAGATGCTTTTGGCTTGGACCAAATCCAACCTCCTGAAACTCTGCCGGGTGGAAGGGGAGCGACAGAGCCAGCTCCCGGGCTGGCCTGGGGGGGGGGAGGGGTCTGGGCAGCCACCCCGGGGGGCTGATGCTGCACCCTGGGGTGGCTGCTGCAGTGCGGTGCTGCCCGGCAGACAGCGGTCCCCAGGGATGCACACGCCACGCGTGTCCACGGCCACTGCAGGGGTGGAAAGGGGGAAAAGGCACGAGGGATGGAGGTGGGGTGTGAGCGGGGGGAGAGGGAGGTAAAGAGGGTCCCACGTGTCAAACACCGACGGGGGTCAAGTCCCTGTGCAAAGCCAAGTCCTGGGAGAGGTACGCTGCCGGGCAGGGCTAGAAAACCACGGACTGCAGGAGGCGGAAACACATCATCAGGTCCAAGGGGATGGGGGGTTTCAGGAGGTTCCCATCCAGCCGCAGGTACCGGAGCCGGGGCACGCTGTCCAGGTCGGAGGGGGAGAAGTCCTGGATGGACATCAGCGAGGTGGGGCAGATCTGCGTCCCGTTGATTTCTGCAGGGAGGAGAGGAGAGGCGGGCTGCAGGTTAGAGGAAAGGGAAGACAGAGAGGGATGCCAGAGACCCCCCTCCATGCCCGCCTGTTGAACCCCCAAATGGGGTTGCTTCGCTACAGAGGGGGAGAATCTCCAGCCTCTCCCAGAAGACAGCAGAGCCCCAGCAAGAGGGAAATCTCGCTTTTGTTCAGAATTTAAGTAGGTCATGTTCAGCCAAAGCACGGTGAGGGATGCAGCGTCATTTAAGAGAGAAAAGGGATTATTTCAAACATGAAACCTGCCGAGCCAGCCTTCAAAAAAAAAAAAAAAAACCACCCCACAAGAAACATCAAGGAAACATGTTCCAGCACCATTACGCTGAAGATAACGTCAACAACCAGCTCGTTGCTCGCTTCTGGATTTCCACATGTTTCTCCCCACCCCAGGGCCTGCGTTACGGAAAATAAACCCGGGGATTCTTATGTTGCTACCCAACTCCAGGAACTGAAACCTTACAAAAGCTGGGTAAAAAAGGCAAAAAAAGAGCTGGGATACGATGTGCATGGCCACGCAGGCGTCTCTCCACAGAAAGCCCTAGCAGGACCTGGGTCCCGGTGTGTGTGAAGCCAGCAGCAGTCACCTCAAGGTCCCCCTTGGCTCCGGTTTGGGGATGTTTAAATAAAATGCAGGTTAAGCAGTATTTGAACCAGACGTTCGTCACTGCGTCATTATTCCCCAAGAACAGACTCTGCTGACCCCCTGAGAGAAGGGATGTGGCTTTGTGAGGGTTTTGTCCCTCTCCCTCATCACATCCCATAATTGCTGTTAGCGCTCGCCTGCAAAGAGCAGCTTTCTTGCTCACGTTCGGTGCCCCGTTTGGGCAGGAGCCGGCCTGCTAATGCTGCTCTGTGATTTTACAGCCCCTCTTCGGTAGCAGATGGCTTTTACACATAAAGTCACGCACCATCACTGCGCACTAAGCGCCGCAGCGTGGAAGTGCTTGTGTCACACCACTTGTGGGGACCAGCACCTGCCCGGTGGCTGCGTCACAGGCGAGCGATGCCCTGGGTGGGTCCTGCAGTCCCCATACAGCCCACCGCAGGCAGAAATACAAGAGCCCAGCACGCTTTTCCCGGCACGCACGGAGGGTTTCTGGCAGGAGCACCACATTCTTGCTCTCCCGCAGATACAAGGACAGCAGGTTGGTGGACCTCTAATAGCAGAAACATCTGGGGGGACCAGGAATGGGTCTCTGCCGTCTTCTCAAATGTGCTAGCTATGTTTACACACTTCACAGGCCAGCACCTCTCCCATGAAATTGCAGTGCTTTGCCTGGAACGGTGCAAAACTGCCCCGGTTGGTTTGCCAAGGCAACCTCCATCACAGCCTTGTTCTCCCTGTTCCTTCCTCTGTGAGGCTCAGCTCAAGAGCTAAGCTGGGTTATTTCTAACCATCTTGACTGCGTATTTGGCATCTGTTCTTAAAATATGTGCACAGACTCTCCTTTTTAAATATCCCTATTTCTGAGCCCTGCTGGGGAAGTAACTATTTAGATGGCAGGTGGCCCCAGAGAAGAGCTGCCCATGACAACGAACAAGAAAAGCCCTGCAGCACCAGGGGGAATTTAGCTCTGCTCCTCAGCTACCATCCTAATCCTCAGGCCATCCTTCCCCACATGCAAATCCACCCCCCCTTAGAGCCTTGTTCACCTACAAAGAGCCCCCAGTTCATCTCATCACCACATCCCCCTTTGAAGAGTTCACATCCCACTGGGTAAAAAAATGACCTTTTTCAACAAACACTTGCCATCCTCAAGCCCATCTGCTCCCCCACAGACCTCCCCACAGCCTCCCGACCAGCCAGTGCAACTCACTTTCAATGGAGTTGTTATTTAGGTAGAGGTGCTCCAGCTTGGGGCTGATGAAAGGGACGTTAGTGAGCTTGTTGTGGGCCAGATGCAACACCAGTAAGTTGGTGAGGTTGAAGGAGTTCTTGGGGAGCCCCTTGTCAGAGATCTGGTTGTAGTTGAGCCGGATGAATGCCAGGTTGGGGAACTCCTTGAAGTAGTCACTGGGGATGTCCTCAATATTGTTCCTGTCCAGGAAGAGCTGGTGGATGGCACTGGGCACCCCAGGGGGCATTTTCCTCAGGATGTTGTGGGCAAGGTTGAGTTGCATGAGGTTCTTGAGTCCCTTGAAGGTGTTTTTGTTGAAGACCCCATCGCTTAGCTTGTTGTGGTGCAGATCCAAGAGCACCAGGTTCTCCAGCTTGTTGAAGACCCCAGCAGGGATCTTGGAGATCTGGTTCCTGCTCAGACGCAGCTGCTCCAGGTTGGGTGGCAGGAAGGCAGGAACCTCCTTGAGCTGGTTCTTCTCCATGTAGAGGAAGATGAGGTTTTCCAACTTCTCCAGGACCCGCCTGTCCACCTTCCGGATGCGATTGTTGTCTAGGTTGACCCATTTCAGCCCCGTGGCGTTCCTGAAGGACTCCTCCGGGAGGTCGTCGATGAAGTTGTTCTGGAGGTAGAGGTAGTGGATGCGGGACGGGATGATGGGGACCTTCCGCAGGTTGCGGCTGTCACAGTAGAGGGCAGAAGGGAAGTCTGGGGGGCAGTAGCATTCTCGAGGGCAGTCAGGGAAGATAGAGGGGGGACCCGGCGGCAGGGGTGGAGGCAGCTCTGTGGGCTCGACGGGCTCAATGAACTCAGGAGGCGGGCGGGTGGGTTTTCGGGGAGGCTTCCTCCGCTGCCCGCTCACCTCCGAGATCAGCACAAGAACAAGTGGGAGAAGCAAGCTGAAGGCCACCTTCATGGTCCAGATGTTTCCCTGAGGGAGGCAACAAGAAGAGGTGGGTTAGGAAGAGCCCGATTTAGGTACCGCATCATCTCCCATCTCCTCCGTCACTGACAGGCAGGAATTCACCCCACATCCCTGCCAGTAACCTGCTATTTTCTCTCCTTCCCCTTGGAAGCGATCTTTAAATCCAGCCCCTGTCTAGAGCATGAGTCACTGAGATCCCCTTTCTCTGGCTCAGCTTTACGCCATGGCAGGGGGAATTTGGGTTGGTTTTTTTTTTTCCATTTGGTCTGGGGTTTTTTCACATGCCACCTGCCCCACAGAGCTCCGACACCACTGTGCCCTCTCCTGAAGGGTAGATTGCCCCTTCAGAGACCCTGATGGATTAGGCTTAATTTTGCACTTGAGCCAAAAAAAACCCCAAAACCAAAATCAATGTTGCAGTAGCAAATTGGCTGAGCAACAGTATCGGGAGGCCAGCAGCAGTTAGCGGGGCAGCAGAGATGGATGGCCCTGTGCTTCAGGGACAAGGCTTTAATGCAGCACAGTCCATTTTCAAGGCCACGCGATAAAAAGGCATTTGCAAGATTATGCATGGGCAATACCGAAGGTGTTTGGTTATACAGCTCCCTGTGCTGCCCAAATAACTGATCCATCACCTTCAGCCCCACTGCAGGGTGCTGGGCTGCTTATTTGGAGAGAGTCCCAGGAGAAGTGGGAGATCTGGAGGGATCAGGCAAGGTCTCTGCTTGCCCCTACCCAGAGAGTTTCTCCTGGACACCAATACCCTACAAATACCACCTTTTTCCTTTCCTCTGGGTTGTCGTGAAGCCCACGAAGGCTGCCTGTCCCACCTCTGCCCTCCCTGCTGCTGCCTGGAACAGCAGCAATCATCCTTGCAAGACCGTTGCTGGTAGCTCTCCAGCTGATGCCTTGGAGGATGGAGGGATTCAACTTGTTGCAGATGAGCTCCCCAGAAAGCCCCGTGCAGAAGGTGTTTTGGATGCTCTGACACTCCCCGGGGCCAGCTGGAGCAGACCAGGCTGCGGGCTTCCTGGGCAGACACCTCGGGGCGTTCGCCAGGCTTTTCCCGGCGGCATTTGTCACCCCAGCAGGAACAGAGCCGAGCTGGATGCACAGTGAGGCAGATGGAGGAGCTCAGAAGAGGCAGGGTGGGAAAGAGAATCGAGTGAGATGAGACAGGGAGGAAGATGAGGAGACTCAGAGGAAGATGGATCTGCTGGGGAAACGGAGCATCTGCTGTGGGAGGCAGCGCTGCTGGGACTGGAGCGTGGGGTAGAAGCCTTCGGTGATGCTGGAGCCGGAGATGCTAATGCTGGAGAGAAACGAGGCTCTCGGCTCATCGCTCTCTCCCATGCAACCCGATGGAGCAGAGCTCGCAGCTCGCTGGTGCACGGTGCTGCTGTCGTGGCGGCAGGCGCAGCCAGCCCCGCTCAGCTCAGCTCGCCCAGTGGGAGCAGCGCACAGGCAGGGCTGAGCCGGGCACAGCGCGTTGGCCTTTGGGCACCGGCAGGGAAACTTCCCCAGCCTTCATCGGACCAGCAAGCGGCACAGACCAACACCACTGGGATAGCCCCTTGCCAAACCAACCCCCTTTTTTGCTCACAGCTTCCCACCGGGTCTGTGTCCCACCCAGGGACGTCCTTACAGCCCCTCGACAGGCCACTGCTCCCAGGGCTTCACCAGCCCGGCTCCCTTTGAAGCAATCCCACGCATTCCTGGGGCTCCAAGTAATTGACTTTCTCCAAGAAAAGATGCTATTCTCACCCCTCCCCTGCAGACCCAGCCTATTACTTTCCTTTTTGTCTCGCTCTGCTCCCATCTGGCTCCGTTTAACCCTACAAGCCTCACACGCCTGCTGTTTTCAATCAGAGCTCTGGCATCTCGCTGGGGGAAGGGAGGAACAGGGGAAGAGCAACGGGGCCCGAATGCTGCCAGATATTCAGCTCAGCAGTGCTGCACTAAGTCCCCTTTGGGGACGTACGTGCGTGCTTCTGTGTTGTAAGAGTTCAGATTCGACGGCGGGTGGCAGAGAACAGACAAATTCGTGACAGGGAGCTGCTCTACGTGCGGTCCCCTCCCTGGCCCTGCAGCACCGCGCTCCTTTCCCAGCCACGTCCCTCCTTGCACTTGGCTCTCCCCCCACCTTCTCCCAGACCTTTCCACAAGATTTTGCCTCAGCTTCAAAACTCAGACCTGGATTTTAACACCCACCACGCTCCAGGGAGCAGCAGGGGCTGAGGTCTGCGTTTGGCCCGTTGCAGAGGGGAGGAGGCAGCTGGGACACGATATTCCAGCCAGTACACGCTGTGATCCGGGTGTTCGGCTCCCTCCGCTCACAGAGCGATGCTCAGCTCGGGCCACCCAGCAGCCACCCCGGGCAACGTCACAGGGAGCGTGGGGGACAGGGCAGAGCTGCCACCCTGTTGGTCTCGGGAGCTGGCTGAGTTCCTGGCCCTTCCAGGAGCAATCTGGCCCTGCACAGCCTGCGCCATCCCCTCCGCATGAGGCTTTAACACTGCAGATGTTTAGGGACTCGGCATATAGCCGAAATAGTCAGCGAGCCAGAAATTCAGGCTGGAGAGCGGCAGCATCGTGTGGCATTTGTCAGCACAGAAGGAAAGTGTCAGGAGGCAGACGCAGCCCCTCTTATCCGCTGTGCCGCCTGCAACCTGCTGCCACATCCCCATGGGGACCGGGGACTGCCACAGCCCCTCTGCCATCGCAGCCGGGCAGAGCCAGCAGTGCCACCACCCTTCTCGGTGCCCACCAGCCTCTCCCTGCAGAGCTGCAGCTCCCCGCTGAGGCTCTGCCCACCGCTCCCCAGCCTGCTCGGGGAAAGCAGGACCCATTTCCAAGCAGTCTGCAGGAAACCAGCTCACAGCCAGCAGTCCCCACAACAGCCCTGCATCCAGAATAACGTCCTCAACGGGGCCGCAGCCGGGCTTTTTGCAACAAGCCTGAGGCCACCACAGGCTTTACAATTGCCTCCAACACGCTGGAAGGTTCAAAGCCAGCTCTCCCTGGACCCGACACAGTCGGCAGTCTGTTCTCCATCCAGTTTAATGCAGTCGAATTTACTGGCGTGAATGCAAGAAGCCAGATTTCAAAATCCCACACCCTTATTCTGCACGAGCACCAGCTGCCGAATCCGCGGCCAGAGCCACGGCACAGCGCCTGCTCTGCAAATGCCTCCGCTCGACATTTCTCACCACTCCCCGACGGACAAGGCAGCTCGGATCCCAGGTACCCACAAGGAATCCGTGCAACAGGAATAAAGTTAAAATCACGAAGCAATAAATGCATTCAGGGACCCGACCGCCTGGTGTGGAGAAAAGGCTCGATTCATGGACAAAACCATTCTGACACCTCCTGAGCTGTGGGCTGGGCTGAGCAGCATGGCCTGGGTGCAAGACCATGGCACCCAACAGATGCCAACCCAGGGTTTTTCCCAGAAAAAGGCAGCTGCTCCCTCAGTCATCCTATTACAATTGACAAAAATTTGGCACAACAGCTGGAAATTCCAGCCCCAAATGCCACTGCCGTTTGCTTTCCAAATAGTTTATCTTCGCTGCATCTCCCTAACCCACAGCTCCCAAGCAGTGCTCCCTGCCAGCCCAGTGACGGGTGCCAAGTGCGGGCAAAAATCACGACCTCCGGGGCAAGAGTGAGCTATGTAAAGGTCACGGGAGGATTTGTCACGGGCAGGAGTCCCAACGCTCTCCCCTGGGTGCCTCCTGCCCTCCCTGCCTCTTGTGGCAGTTAGACGTGCAGAGAGCAGCAGCCGGCTCTGGACGGCTATCACCGATGTATCCGGGACCCCTGTGCAGGGGCTGGGAGGGATAAAGGGAACCTTTAACTTTGGGAGGAGAGGGGAAAGCCTAGATGGCTGGACCAGGGATCCTTTCCAGCCCCGTGCCCATAACCCTGCTAGCTGCCTTCACAGCTTTCCCACCGGGACCCCCAATTCCCATCACCCCTGCAGCCCCCAGGCTGGAAAATGTCCCCATTGTGGCCTGGGAACCTGCACGTTGGAGCAGAACAAGGAGAGCAAGCTAAAAATAACCGAAAGGAGCCAGCAAAGCTCCCTCGTTGGCTTCCCTTGTGTCCAACCACCGCAACATCCCGTTGGTGTCTCTGCAGGAATCTGGGTCTGATCAGCTGTAACTGAAACAGGGAGCTCTTTATCCAGCGGCGCTGGCGAGCTGGGAACGCTGGAAAAGGGCTACATACAGTGCAAGCCCGTCCTCGGAGGGGAGGGCAGACACGCTGTCACCCAGGCGTCCCCAGGGTCCCCTGGGGAGCAGAGCCCTGATGCAACAACCCGCTCTTCTCGCCCTTTCCCAGCCCTTTCCCAGCGAGGAGCGGAGCTGCCGGCAGCCTGCTCGG